GGGATTTGGGGTGGGAAGGGGGCTCACAGTGGTGATGGTGTTGAGTGTGGAATGGGATTTGGGGTGGGAAGGGGGCTCACAGTGGTGATGGTGTTGAGCGCGGTGTCGGCGCCGATGCTGAAGTCGGAGCCGGGCACGTTGTTGGAGACGGTGGCCGGGATGACGCAGAGGGGGATGCAGAGCTCCTCGTACCGGGCCCGCCCCTCCACCAGCTCCAGGCTGCCCGTGAACGCCTGGGGGGCACCGGGGGGCAAACGGGACAGCCCGTGTTGGGAGGGACCCACCGGCACCGTCCGGTCCAACCCCCCCCCCAAAATCCCCAAAATCTCCAAATCCCAACCCCTGCCCTTGCACAGGATCCCCAAAATCTCACTAATCCCACAAAGATCATTGAGTCCAACCCCTGCCCTTGCACTGGACCCCCCTAAAATCCCACCAGGGTCATCCAATCCAACCCCTGCCCCAAAATCCCCAAATCCCAACCCCTGGCCCTGCACAGGACCCCCCAAAATCCCACAAGGATCATCCAGTCCAACCCCTGCCCCAAGATCCCCAAAATCCCCAAATCCCAACCCCTGGCCCTGCACAGGAGCCCCCAAAATCCCACCAGGATCATCCAGTCCAGCCCCTGGCCCTGCACAGAACCCCCCAAAACCCCCCCAATCCCAAATCCCAACCCCTGAGAGGATCATCCCAACCCTGTCCCTGAGCTCTGGCAGGTTTGGGGCCGTGACCAAACCCCGGGGAGCCTCTTCCAGTGCCCGACCCCGCTCTGGGGTGGGAGGAAGAACCTCTTCCCAAATTCCAACCAGCCCGACCCCAAACCCTCTGGCTGTCCCCCAGCACCCACAGGCCCCTTTTCCCACGGGAACTCCGCATTCCCAACGGGATTTTCCCTCTCTCACCTCGAAGCCCCCGATGATGATGAGCCCGTGGATCCCAAACTTGCTGATGTTGACGCTGATTTCCTCCAAGTATTTCTTGGGCAAAGTCCTGGGAAGGGGAAAATCCCCCCCTGGCTGAGCCCGCCCGGGGTGGGGGGCTGGGCCTGGGCCCCCCCAAAGGGATCCCCCCCTGGTACCTCTTGGTGCCCAGTTTGGATCCCCCCAGGCCTGTCCAGGCCCCGACCCGGTTCCAGTTGATCTCCTCCACCTGGGGGGAAGGGTTAGGGTTAGGGGGGCACAGGGGGAGGGTTTGGGGGCACAGGGGGAGGGTTTGGGGTCTTTGGGGTCCCACTGGCCTGGCTGCAGCCATATCAGTGATATTGGGGTCACACCCCTGGTTTGGGGACAATGTTACTGGGGTCCCATCCCTGGTTTGGGGTCAGTGCTATTTGGGTCCCACCCCTGGTTTGGGGACAATGTTACTGGGGTCACACCCCTGGTTTGGGGTCGATATTGAGGTCCTACCCCTGGTTTGGTGTCAGTGCTATTGGAGTCACACCCCTGGTTTGAGGTCACTGATATTGGGGTCCCACCCCTGGTTTGGGGACAATGTTGCTGGGGTCCCACCCCTGGTTTGGGGTCAGTGCTGTTGGGGTAACACTGTGCCCCTGGTTGGGGTCAGTGCTATTGGGGTCCCACCCCTGGTTTGAGGTCAGTGCTATTGGGGTAACATTGTGCCCCTGTTTTGGGGTGGCTATCAGGGTCCCACCCCTGTTTTGGGGTGGCTCTCGGGGTCCCAGCTCAGGGACAGGCACCCCCCATGCCAAGGGTGAGCCCCTCAAAGCTGTTGTGGCATCACAGCCCTGGTTTGGGATCACTATTGGGGTCCCACCCCTGTTTTGGGGTCAGTGTTATTGGGGTCCCACCCTGGTTTGGGGTCACTATCGGGGTCCCACCCCTCGTTTGGAGTCAGTGCTATTGGGGTCCCACCCTGCTTTGGGGTCACTATCGGGGTCCCCCCCCTGTTTTGGGGTGGCTATGGGGGTCCCAGCTCGGGGACAGGCACCCACCATGCCGAGGGCGAGCCCCTCGAAGCCATCGTGGGGTCACAGCCCTGGTTTGGGGTCAGTGCTATTGGGGTCCTCCCCCGGTTTGGGGTCAGTGCTATTGGGGTCCTCCCCCGGTTTGGGGTCACTATTGGGGTCCCACTCCTGGTTGGGGTCACTATCGGGGTCCCCCCCCTGTTTTGGGGTGGCTGTCGGGGTCCCACCCTGGTTTGGGGTGGCTATGGGGGTCCCCCCCCTGTTTTGGGGTGGCTGTCGGGGTCCCAGCTGGGGACAGGCAC